TCCCCATTGAGCTCCTGTACACACTCAGCACCCAGAGCAAGTCCCCTCCTCTGAGCCCCCCATGGGGACAGATTCACTCTGGTTTTAGTTCCCTGTATTGTGTCCTCAGATGCACAGTGATTCCCATGCTCTGCTGGGCCAGGATTCATGTGTGCCCCCTCTGGACCACCACCTACCATTGAGACCCTGATCGTTGACAGTCACACCAGGACAGCACCTGGATATTCTCTTCTAGAGATGATTCTCATGTGTGAGAAACACAGGAGTCAAGGAAACACGTGAAAGTGAGATGTTGGACCCTTGTGAAAGAAGGAGGGTTTGGCTTGTGACTAGTGGGTGGCGCCATGAAATTATCTATGGGGTTTTCTGCAGGACAGGTACTCCCAGCCAGGCAGCCCTCCACTGAGAGGAGGCCCCAGGGCTGGCCTATTGTTTCCTGTGGAGACTGAGCAGGCATGTCTTCTCTGCACCTGACCAAGTTCCCTCCACATGGGCATGTGTGTGGTCTCAGTAGCTGCTTCCTCCCAACCTCACCCACAGGGAAAAGTAGTGCATCAGGTTGCCTCCATGTGCAAGGGCCCCAGACCCTGTCAGTGTACTAGGAAGTGGCAACACATTTGCAAGAGCAGCCCCTCCTGTGTGAGGCCAGCTGGAAGAAGATAGAGAAGCCTGGGCTTCCCGACCCCAGCTCTGTGGCCTAAGAAGGGGCTGTGTACACCATAGCCTGGATCCTGGTCCTCTTCATTCTCCTTTTTCACTGCAAAGGTAGGAACAGACCTCAGAAACCCAGGGCATCTGCACCCTATCCCTTCTGTTCACTGAGATGTGTCTGTGTTTGCAGGTTTCCTCTCCCAGCCTGTGCTGACTCAGTCGCCCTCCCTTTATGCATCTCTGGAATCAACAGCCAGACTCACCTGCACCCTGAGCAGGAACATCAGTGTTGTTGGTGAAGACATATACTGGTCCCAGCAGAAAGCAGTGAGCCCTCCCTGCTTCTTTCTATACTACTACTCAGACTCAGAAAAGGAACTTGGACCTAGGGTCCCCAGTCAAGTCTCTGGATCCAAAGACACCTCAGCCAGTGCAGCGTATTTGCTCATCTCTAGGCTGCACCCTGAGGATGAGGCTATTACTGTGCTGTCTGGTACAATAGTGCTTCGCACAGTGACAAATGGATGGAGAGTGGGACAAAAATCCTTGGCCCCACACATTGCAGCTTCTGACACATTTATAGAGGCAGTTAATAACATCACTGATAATAAGAGAACATCAGCCTTGGCATTTTGGATTACAATGATGTTAAATTACAATTCTTTAGTATTTTTTACACACAATACCCACAGAAACCTTCACAACTTAAAATAAACAAATAACACTGATATCAATTCAACAAATACTAACAAATTTCTATGGGAAAATTATTGTGTACAACAGATGGTAAAATCCATCTTGGGAAAATACACACACACACACACACACACACACACACACAGGGGAAGTTAGACAGTTAAGTTCTTGAAATTGTTGCAGTGATGTTGCTAACCTTGTTTGATATCAAAAGAATTATTCATTATGATTGTGCTAACTGGAAAAACAGTTAACCAAGTTTACTATTTGGAACTGCTGAAAAGCTGTGTGAAAAAGTTAGACAAAAATGACCTGAACTTTTCACCAACAATTCATGGCTCTTGCATTGTGACATTGCATCAGCTCACACAGCACTACCTGTGATAGACTTTTTAGCCAGTAAACAAATAACTGTGTTGGAACACCCTCCCTACTCACCTGATCTGGCCTCCAATGACTTCTATTTGTTCCCAAAGATAAAGGAAATGTTGAAATAAAGACATTTTGATGACATTCAGGACATCAAGGATAATACAATGACTGCTCTGATAGCCATTCCAGTAAAAGAGTTCCAAAATTGCTTTCAAGGGTGGACTAGGCATGGGCATTGGTGCATAACTTCCCAACAGGAGTACTTCAAAGATGACCATAGTGATATTCAGCAATAAGGTATGTAGCACTTTTTCTAGAATGAGATCTCAAAATTAATTGTCAGACCTCATACATGGTCAAATGATCTTCAACAAACATGCCAAGACCATTCAATGGGGTGAAAAGCAGTCTCTTTAACAAAAGATATTGGAAAAATTGGATACCCATATGCAAAAGAATGAAGTTGGATTATTACCCCATAAAAAATTAACTCAAAATGTATCAAAGACCTAACAGTAAGACTTTAAACTATAAAAATACTAGAGGAAAACCTTCATGACATTGTACTTGCTAATGGTTTGTTGGATATGACACCTAAATCACGAGCAACAAAAAATATAGACAAATATATAAAATACATAAAATATAAAAAAATATATAGACTATATTAAACTTAAAAACTTCTGTCTATGGAAGGACAAAATCAATAGAGTGGAAAATCCACCTACAGAATAAAAGAAAATGTTTTTAAATCATATATCTGATAAGAGGTTAACATACAGAATATATAAGGAACTTCTACAACTGAAGAAAACAACAACAACACAAAAAACAACACCAAGAGTGGCCCATTATAATATGGGCAAAGGTCTTTCTTTGATAGACATTTCTTCAAAGATGATATACAAATGGCCACAAGCATATGAAGAAATACTCCATATTATAATCATTGGAGACATAATTAAAATCAAAACCACAATAAGATATCATTTTATACTTATTAGAATGGTTACAAAACAAAACAAAACAAAAAGAAAATAACAAGTGTTGGCAAGGATGTAGAGAAATTTTAACCCTGTGCACTCTTAGTGGGGATGTAAAATGGTACAGCCACTATGGAAAACAGTACAGAGATTACTGAAAAATTAAAAATAGATTATTATATAATCCATCAATCCCACTTCTGTGTATATATAAAAAAGAATTCAAAGTGGGACCTCAAAGATATATTAGCACTCACCTGTCCATAGAAGCATTATATGCAATAGCCAAGAAGTGGAAGCAACCCAAACGTCCATTGGCAGATAAATGGATAAACAAACTGTGACAAAAATTAAAGCAACAAAGAACAAGTAAAACAAACAAAGAAAAACTCATAGACATAGACAATAGTTTAGTGGCTACCAGAGGGTAAGGGGGAAGTGAGGATAAACGGGATCAAATACATGGTGATGTAAAGAAAACTGACTCTGGGTGGTGAACACACAATGTGATGTATAAGTGATGTATTACAGAATTGTACACTTGAAACCTCTGCAACTTTACTCACCATTGTCAACCCAATAAACTTTAATTTAAAAAAATATATAAATAATATTATACATATATACATAATACATAATTCAGCCTTAAAAAGGAGAGAAATGCTGTCACATGCACAATATAGATGAATATTGAGAACTTCATGCTAAGTGATTTACACCATTTACAAAAAGACAAATAGTATATGATTCCAGGTATTCAAAGTAGTCAAATTTATATAATAGAAACAGAAAATAGAACTGGGGGAAGAGAAAAATGGAGAATTGTTTTTTTAAAGAATATAGAGTTTCAGTTTTTCAAGATGAAAAATTGTGCAGGTGTGTTGCACAACAATGTCAATATACTTAACACTATAAAACTGTACACTTAAAATGGCTAACATAGCAAATGTTATATTGTGCATTTTAGCAAAAATTTAAAAATAGGCTGGAGCAGAGATGAGAGGAGCTGCTGAACCATAGGCATGGAGTGCACGGATGGAAATCAGGGTGTGTGAACACTGATGGGAGGAAATACCACCTACCTTTTCACCCACCTTTTGCTACACAATAGCATGCACATTCCCTTGGGATATTGGCACCAAACCACAGCTGTGGTGGCACTGGCCGTGACTGTGCCACCAATAGAAATCACAGATGTTTTCATCAGGCCTCATGGTGGTCATAGGATCTCCAGATACCGTTTAAGCATGTTCTACTTCTGAATCACTAACTCTAATAACATAATTACCTTAATAAAGAGGCTCAAATTGGGCTTAAGCTATTCAATGTAAAAATAAAAGTAGTAATACCCAACGGGTCCACAAAATGAGAAACTCAAATTTATTTGGACTCTTCTTTCTACCCTATCCAGACATCCAACTGATCATTAACCATGTGGATTCTCTTTCAGATTCATCTGATCCTGTTAACTGTCTATTCTAACATCTTATTTTAAACCTTCATGGCACTTATTGATCATGGCTATTACTGAATTGGCTCCTGATTCACATCTGGCCCTTTCCTTCCTGACTCCCCAGGGTCTTTCTGCTCCTCTGGAGTTTTCTGATGAAGAAATTTGGTCCTGATCCCAGGATTCCTCCCCCTCCTGCTTGAACAGCGGGACTTCCTTTCAGTAAATGGCTCAGAAACTCACCCCATGTAGTTGCTTCCGTTAAAGACAGAGCTCTTGCCTCCATTTCTTTTCAAACAAAGCCAATTCTCATTGTGATATTCCTCACCTCCAGTGACACAAAGGGACTCAAAATATGTGGACCAGAGTAGTAACCCTTGATCCACCTAGAGAGACATGAAAGTTTAAATGTAGTGTGATCATAGGATGGTGTGCGGAAAAACTCTAGACTTGTTGCTGGAGTTGTGAGGGGTGCTAATTTGGGCGGGTTGTGAATTTTGGAGGACAGGAGACCTGAGCACAAGCACCTGCCCAAGATGGACATGTGACCTGCATCCATCAGGGGGCCCTGTGGCCTAAGCACCTGCTAGATGCACTTCAGTTTCTCACCCGTTTTTCCCATTCCCTTGTAGCTGTTTCTGTGTGCTCACAGGGGTAAATAGCCCCTCCTCCTACACTCTCTCTTTTTATCAGGAGCTGTCAAGATGGGGTTTGTACAGCCTCTAGAAAGGGGAAGATTTGCATGGAGACCTCCCTCTCTCAGGATCATGGTGACATATAAGAAAGAAGGTTGAAGGCTCAGACTTGGCTGTGGGGCTTAGGAAACGAAGCCTGGGGGCATCTCCACCATGGCCTGTGCTCCACTCCTCCTCACTTTCCTTGCTTATTGCACAGGTGGTGTTTGCAGGAAAGTTTGGGAGGGCACCTCTTTGCCACCTGGTATGACAACCTCCCTGGGAATGGAGTCTCTCCTGTTCTCACTGATCCCTGTGTCCCTCCTTCTTTTCAGGGTCTTGGGCTGAGTTTGTGCTGACTCAGCCCTGCTCTGTGTCTGGGTCTCCAGAACAGAAGATCACCATCTCCTGCACCTACAACAGTGGCAACGTTGGGAACAGATATGTGTACTGGTACCAGCAGCACATGGGCAGTGCGCCCACTACTGTGATCTATGCGGACAAAAAAAGACTCTCTCGGGTGCCCGATTGGTTTTCTGGCTCCATCGACAGCTCCTCCAATGCTGCCTACCTGAAAATTTCTGAGCTGCAACCTGAGGATGAGGCGAACTACTATTGTCAGTCCTATGACAGCAACTACAAGCACAGTAATTCAGGTCCATAGGGAAGTGCGACCAAAACTCCCCAGAGTGTCCTTGTCCTGGATATACCCTTCCTCACACCCACCAGGAAAGGGTGCCCTTTCTTATCTTCAGCTTGAATGCTAGAGTTGGAATTATCTTGAGTTTCTCTATTTTCTTTCCAGAATGTCAATTTCCCCTGCCATGTCTTGATGAATGATTATCTGTCCCCTTTGCAATCACTTCATGGTAATGATTTAGTTCAGACAGGGTTTCTGAACCTGGGCATTACTGACAATGGGGTAGGGGGTCATTCCTTATGGAGGGAAGGGCTGTTCTGTGCCTATGTGATGTCAGAGGATTTTGGGGGTTCCACACATTAGACATCAGTTGAACCCTACTCTCTAAGTCATGACATACAAAAAATTCAAGACATTTCCAAATCTGCCCTGGGGGTGGGGTGGATGGCAAAAGCACCTGTTTCAGAACCACAGGTTTAAAACAGGATGTTTTTAGCTATTAGAAATGCTTTGGCTTTGAATCCTGCTCATGGCAGTCAGCTAGAGAGATGGCTAGAGGTGTCATCTCTCTGTGCTTCTGTGTTCTGTATGTTAGACAGAACAGTTACACAGACCTCAAATGATTGCCCTGATGGATGAATAACATTCTAGGCTCCAGAGGTCAGATAACTTGTTACCCAGTCATAAGAAATCTTCTCTCCACCAGAGTGGAGTACAATTTTTACCAGACTAGGTGTGTAATTAATCTTTTTAGAAAACAAATAAAATATATTAATAGGAGATTTCTCCTCATTGATTCCCTCAGGGAGTACTTTTTAAGGATCAGATACAAACTGCACTCTCACAGTTTACATTTTGAGATGGGCACGAGAAACAAACAAGAACAGCAGCTTAGATGAGTGTATAATAAAGTCCTTTCTTTCACCAGTGTGACGTTCAAATTTCGGCTCTGCCTCCATTTGGCTCTGTTCAAATTTTGATCTTTGGACCTCCACTGTCCAGTATAGTCTCTGCTAGCAGAATGTGGGTATTTACATCTAAATTTAATTTAAATTAAGTAAAATTAAAAATTCTATTTTTTACTTACACTACCTGCACTTAATTACATAATGACTTCAGGTGTCTCATGGCTACCATATTTGAGAAGGCAGAAGTGTAACATTTCCACCATGGCAGGAAATTCTACCAGATAGTGCTGACTTGGACAAGTCACTCAGCATTTTCCCAACTCTGTTTCCTATCTGCAAAATGCAAATGCCCAAAACCCTAAAAACTCTACCATTCTTTACAATCTCCAGCACATCTCTCTGTGTGAGTATTATATTGTACCTTTTTACCCTATCTTTTTTTCTAAAATACTTTAATTGTGGAATTGGGGGATGTCAACAGCGCTGGGGAATTAGGAGAAGGGGAACAGAGAAGTTGCTGTCCTTTTGTTCTTCAGTCTAGTGTGGAGGACGTTGCTTCACTGGCCCAAGTTGGCACCATCATTGCGCTCTTCCTGGGCAAGGCAGATCAGTCGCCGTCTGCTGGATGGCCACTCATGCTGGCTGCTGGTGAGTAGCCCATAGCAACCCACTGCAGCAGGGGCTGCAACCTATGTCATCGTCGGCGACTCATGGCAGCCCATCTCCAGGTTGAGCTGTTGTTCAGCATCTTAGCTGTAGAGGACATTACCACTGGCCCTCATATGTGGGATCCAAACCAGGGCCCTCTGGCATCCCAATCCAGCTCTTAACAAATGCGCCACTCAGCCGGCCCCCTTTTTACCCTCTTGAAACTCAGTTTGATCATGTGACTAGCTTTGGCCAATGAATTGAGCAGAAGTGACAAGTGTAATTTCTGAGCAGGAGATGTATGAACTAGCATGTGCTTTGGCAAGTTCTCTGGTCTCTCTGTTATGAGATCAGCAGTGTTTTAGTAGAATCTTCTCTGTCAGCTGTATCCTGGGATGCAGATAAAATTGATCAGAGCTACAACTGATCAGGTTTGGAAATCAGAAATAAGTGAGAAATAAAGTTTAGTTTTTTGTTTTCCTTTTCACTGAAATTTGTAAATTGTTACAACAGCATAACTTAGCCTATCCTGCCTGCTGTAGGAATTAGAGTAAAAAATGGGTGCTGCAGTAACAAAAATAAGATAGAAAACTTTGCCTTTTGTGCCAGAAACTGGCACAAAAAGACTTTTTATGGAGGTTGCAAAAATGGTTCCCCATTTTATTCATTGGCAAATACTTTATTCAGTTATTGCCTGTGGAACATGGGAGAGGAGAAATAACTTCAATGAGCTGAAGGCTGTGGGTTACAATGTTGGAAAACTGCTTAGAAGCATGAGCTAATTCCTACTGGGGAAATTTTATAACTTAGTTCTTTTAAGAAATGTGCTTAGGGCTGGCCTAGTGGCGTGATGGTTAAGAACTGGCTTGGGACGCCAGAGGGCCTCAGTTTGGATCCCACATATGAGGGCCAGTGACACTGCCCTCTACAGCTAAGATGCTGAACAACAGCTCAACCTGGAGCTGGGC